GGGTTTGAACCACCAGCCTTCTGGTTAGCAGTCAAGTGCTTTAGCCACTATGCTACCAGAGCTCCATGACTTCATAGAATAGTCTCAGCAATTCAAAGATCATGCCTCAGGTCATTTCTGCCAGAAATAGGGTGGAAAAAAAACAAACTCACTGCTGTCAAGTCCAATCTGACTCATAGGGACCCCTCCTTGGGTTTGTCTACAGAAGTAGATTGCCCAATCTTCCTTCTGAAAAGTGGCTGGTGAGTTTGAACCATCATCCTTCCGGTTAGCAGTCAAATACCTTAGGCACTACACCACCAGAGCTCCCAAAAATAGGGAAAAAAGAGGAAAAACAATTTCCTTTCTTCTTCTTTTCCTCCCTTCTTTTCTTCCTCCCTTCATTTTCTCCTTTCCTTCCTTCTTTCCTTCCTTCCTTCCTTCTTTCTTGCTTTCTTCTTTGTAACTCTGCTAGATGTACTGTGAACACTCCTGCTGTTATTTCTCAGTCTAAGAATAAATGAGAACTCCTTCTTGCTTAAAAGAGAAAAATAATCCAATAACATTGGAAGTAATATGAGTACAGTTCACATCAAAGATATCTAATTCTGGAACACAGAGGACACTGATGCTAAAGGCAGGAGTGGGGCAATGACTTGTACATTTGTTTTTAATTTCCCATGTAATTTACACATATAATCTTGGTCTTCATATCATTTCTAGATTTTGGAACAAGTGCCCTGATGCTCTTGAGTAATGGGAGAAGAGGAATTCTTTGGTCTTTGCTCTTGGCAAGAAGTTCTGATGGTATAGTGGCTAAGCCATTCAGCTACTAACCAAAGACCAAAGTGTAAACCAGGATTTTATATGCAAGACGCTAAATAATGCAACAAACAACACAACGCACAGCTCTGGGGTCAGATCCAACTCATAGCGACCCCTCCTTGGGTTGCCAAGGTGGTATCACTACAGAAGTAGTTTGCCTAACCTTCCTTCCAGTGACTGGTGGGTTTGAACTGCCAGGTTTCTGGTTAGCAGTCAAATGCCTTAGGCACTATGCCACCAGAGCTCCCAAGAACTAAGTAGCAGGGAGCTAATAGTAGCTGCCCATTCAAATTGAGTTCAGCCATTCCAGGTATCTATAGACCTACCTCTAATATGGTGGAGGTGACCTACTTAACTTCTTTACTTTGTATTATCTGCTTGACTCCTATAAGCATTTATATTTGTAACCCCTGAACTAGATGAGTAAATCAAAAATTTTCAAACATAAACCCAATTATGGGGATTATGCTAAGAATCTCTTGAAGGAAGAGAAGGTTAAGGGATTTTCTTTAAATGCTATTTTATTGTGTTTTTGGTGAAAGTTTACACAGCAAATTTTTCTACACAAATTGTTCAGTGGCATAGGTTGCAAGGTTAAATGACTTTTTTAAAAAATAATAAAATATGCAGCAGAAAATGGAATGGGCAATTGTACAGAGGAAACTGGGAAAGCATTTGGAATTGAAAAAATTTGCAATGTCTTTCTTTGTTAGTGGCCACTGAGTCTATTCTGAGTCATGGTGACTGCATGCGTTACAGAGTAGAACAACTCCCTAAGGCTTTCTTGTTTAGAGCCTTTACAGAAGCAGACTGCCAGGCCTTTCTTCCATGACACTGCTAATAAGGTTCAAACTGACACACTTTCATCTAGTAGTTCAGTGCTTAACCATTGCAGTATCCAGGGACTATAATATGTTTAGGAGCTCTGGTAGCATAGTGCCTAACGCACTTGACTGCTAACCAGAAGGCTGGCGGTTCAAACCCACCAGGCACTCCTCGGAAGGAAGGTTGGGCAATCCTACTTCTGTAGTGA